TTAACTTTCCATATCAGACACAGTAGGGCTTCCTTTCTCTCTTAAAAACACTTGTAGTGCAGCTGATTTTCTTCACGCAACTTTTTATCAAAAAGAACTTTCGGTTTCATCTCTTCTTGTTGGTGTGTAATATCCAGCCTTGTTGATGTGTAATATCCAACACAAAAATGAATTCCTTGGTGTGTAATTTCCAAGAATTCGTAAGGAATATCATGAGACTTTCACATCTTCTGTGAGACACTCAATCCACGTAACTTTGAACCTTGAGACTTCGTTGTTTCCCGGTTGCAAAGTCTATCCACTACTCAACTCTGCTCGCCGATCTTGGAGAATCGGAAATCAAATCAGCATGGTGGCTAAATAACACCGGATCAAAGAAAAGTGAAGATATGAAGTGTATTTATCAACTACATGTACTTTAGTGGAGAAAAAAATAAAATAAAAATGAGATATTTTGTAGAAACAATATTTTCTTTGGATTATATGGTATATTTAAAAGACCATAAATAATAATTTTTAAATAATTTGGATTGAGATCCGGATTTTTTTTTAATGCTAATGGAAAGTAAGACTAAAACTTGAGAACCAATACAAATAGATGACACTTTAATTTGTAATACCACAAATATATCAATCCGATCGTAATGCCTTCGAGTTATGCAGAAAGAGACCGACACTTTCTTAGGTATGGCCAGGTTTTGCTTTCGAGATGAAGATGAAGAATTAATAATGAAATCATGATATCTAAGCATAAGTCTCTTTTCTTTACAGTATGAATTATAATCATTCATCAGGGTCATGAAATGTATGCTCGCACTACATAAGATAAAAGCAGACAAGATTAGCCTTTGTACTAGGTTGTTCTGAACTAGTGAAAATTGTGTCTACACCAAAAAAAAATATTAGAAGATCGAGAGGTCGAGATGACCAACAAGGATTATGGAAATAATGAAGATCTGATTACAGAAGGATCAAGAAAGTTCTAGAAGATTTGTCAATATCTAAGTTTATGAAGTATGCCTTCTGTAAAAATATTATTTACATTTTTATCTATCTTAGTTTAGGAAAGTAGATCTAATTCATTCTCTATATAAACTAATGTAACTTGTAACTTTATTCTTATGAGATTCTATTCTAAATTCTTCCTAAACACTTTTGTGTTCTTCCTCTCATCAATTTATCATGGTATCAGAGCCAGTTTCAATTCATATGGGTTTAGGGTATTCTATCTTCCACAGAAAAAAAAAATTCCTTCTTTCTTCTCTTTGACCTCCTTCTACATTTTTATTTCTTATTTGATCCATGGATTTTTTCTCTTCTTTTGTTTTGTTGCTTCATAAAAAAAAAAACGTTTTTCTCATACTAAAAAGAAGGCGACGTTCTTGATTGATGATATTGATGTGGATTGTGAGCATGGACTATTGATTGGTTCATTCAAATTCACCAATTAGATCTTCATGTGGTTACTTATCAACTACAAATCGATATAGCCACGAAGATGATGACTCCAATGGATATATATAGACCAAACGGAGGTGATGACAAGATGATGTTGCCGTAAATTATGAGCATGAACCACTTGATGAGTTCGTTCAATTTGCATGGTGACATGAGACGATGGAGATACACAATTACTACAGTATCTTCCACCGAATCGATGACTTTATGGCGAGGTAAAAACGCCATTGATGACCCTACATGTGGGTATGAAGACTTTGAAGATGACTTCGTGAATGTCCAATC